CTATTTGAACACTCTTGGACTGTTCTTGATAATGTTTCCACATTTTTCCATCTTTGATCTCTGCTTGGTCCACTGCAGAATTACAATAAATGAATGATATGTAATGTGTAATGTGTAACATATAAATATGTAAATAATGTATGAAGCACTTACCTAATTCCTCCACACTCACACATTTGTAGTCTGCAATTCTTCTAAGAACATGATAGGATCTCATTACTAATGAAGTTTCTTTTTTTCTACAGCACATAAAGTCTCTGAGAGCAGCGCAACTGTGTGTCTATGAGAAAATGATAATAGTAACACACTCACACAGTTAACCCTTATTTCTCACAGGTTTCCATGACTTTTTTAATTCCGCTCTCAAACTCTCCATCTTCAAATGATTTGCTATACGATTGGCTAAACTAGATGATTTTTCGTCTATTTCCTCCAGCATTACTTCTAGCAACTCAAGACACGAGAGTTTCAATCTATTCAATTTATATTTCAATTTTCTCTTTTCCTGTTATGTACTCATAATACTTATTACATGCATATTAAAATTCTTACTTTATTATCATCATGATAGGAAGTTTGTATCCTCAATATGACATTAATAGATGCAATAACTTGACCTTTATAAGCAATCTCTTGATTAGTATAATTCCCAGTACACATTTCTATCAATGCCTGAACAGCTTTTTGTGCTATATTAATTTTAGTATCATCCCAATGTTTAGAAATGTAGAAAAATATGAAAGAAACTTGATTAACAATATTAGAACCCTATAAAAATACCAAAATTAATTAATGCAAATATTATTAATAAAACCTTATTTCTCATTGCATCTTGCATATCCTTCTGTTGCCAGTCACACAGCAGAATAATAAGATCCAATGCAGCTGCAAAACCCTTTTCTAATTAATTTTGATAAAACTAGAAAAATGTAAAATTAGATGCACTTGATTTTAGGATTTCAGTTGAGTCATTCTGGCTATGGTTAGTATTGTACTATAAAGTACATTAATATAAATAATATTGGTTTGATCTTACTTTAATGTGAGCTTCAGCTTCTCTTAGCAATCGATGCACTTGAACTATATAAACATTATCATGAGCCTCACAGCTTGAAATCATCATTTCCTGGACTTTTTTTGGTGCCTCAAGTTCTTTGGGTACCTTTTCAAAGCATTTCAGCAATTCCACAACTTGAAAAATAACTTCATTGTTTTGACTTTGTAGGAGATGAAATATCTATAAAAATTTAGTTTGTAACCAACAATAAAGTGATATCTTACTGTATGTTCTTTATTTGAGAAATCATTAAGGTATAGTATGTTTTTGACAACTTCAACTAGATCCTTTAATTTTCTAAATGTCATGTAACAAACTATAATTTAGACATTTAGTTTACTCTTGACTAAGAGGCTTTTTTGAAGGTGGTATTACTTCCTTCATTACTGTTTGTAGCAAAATAAGCATTCTTGAAATTGTTTCTTCTACATCAATTCGCTCAAAACAAGAGAGTTTATCTTTCTTTTGCAGGATAACCAAATTCCTGTGACACACATTTTAGCACATTATATCAATAAAACTTCTTACTTCAGTGTAAGAATGACTTCATTTAAAACAGCTCTTACATCATCACCATTTTTAGTTTTTAGTAGCTTAACTATCTTTTCATGACAATTTGATGGTGGCTCAATAGATTCACCTAATATAAGTGGCATTAATTCAACATGATATATAAGTTATCACAATGTTAATACACCCTCCACCTTGGATACAGTTATTTGTATAGACCTTGCAAACTGCACTAGCAGTTGTCAAGTAGGTGGGCTGTTTGTTTAATGTCACCACACAATACAAGACACAACTCAATTTAGACAGTCCCCTTTGAAGTTTATAAATTGGTTTATGAATTGATTTGCAAGTTAGGTCTGCGCAATTTGCTGTTACTTTGAATCAATATCACCCAAGGGCCAAATTAACCCATATATCATCATGATATATAATACACATAAATTTCATTACATCTTCCCAAAAGTATGTCTTCAATATTTGTACTGCTTGTATTATCAGGAGGTAAAGGTGGAAGATCAATCTATACTTAATTTTAAAAATAGTATAGCAACTAAGGTTCTTACTTGATTAGTCAGCAATGAGTTTATGTTTTTTATGAATTCAGACTTTACAAGTTTTTCTGATACAGAGCAGTAGCTTTCAAGCTGCTATAATAATAGTTATAACCAATTACATTGATGCTTTGCTTACTGTAGCTAGTTTCTCTCCAACACTTTGAAGGTCTTCAGTGGTACAGATGTATTCTATACTTGACTGGTGTGACATTTGTTGACAGAGTTCTGATAGGAATGGTATAATGCCATCAGTAATGTACAACATAATCTCAAGAGGCTGCTGTTCAGGAGGCTGCCTCATCATATCCTCAACAGGTTGCATATATTTTCCACCTTTAACTATTTGCTGATATATGACCCGATGGGATTTACTGGTAATGTTTCCACTGTTTGGAGTAAACATGTCTATTGTGATCTTAATTTGTGACCA